GGAGGGAGGAGGACAGGGGGAAGGGAGAGAGGGGGAGTACGGTAAGAGACTTCTTGTTGAGATGCAGCAGGTGGCACCAACGCTGTTCACATCCTCGAGGTACTGAGAGTCGAACAAGAAAAAAGCTGGGCAATCGAACAGATACAGCGACGCTTCCGTTTCTGCCTCACGTGACGCTCCCTCCCTCTCCCTCTCCCTCTCCCTCTCCCTCTCCCTCTCCCTTCCTCTCCTCTCTCCCTTCCTCTCCTCTCTCTTTCTCTACTTTTCCCCCTCCTTCCTCTCCCTACCTTCCTTCACTTCCTCGTCCTCGTCACGCATCCTTCTTACCCCATCCTCCTATAACTTCTCGCACGCCCTGATAGATGCTTCCAGCAAGATGCGAGCAAGGAACTTCGCGAGTTCTCCTCGATCGAAAGAAGTCACTTCTCACCTTCGCTCATTTCATTCCTCTGCTCTTCTCTCTCTGCTCTTTGTCTTTGATCGCTTCCGCCTCTCCCCTCCTCCCTCATTCTCTTCTACTTCCTGCCTTACTTCCTCGCTCTGCTCACTCTCTCCCCAGGAAGAGTCTCCCTACAGAGCTCTCAATCGCAGAAACGTTCTCATGCGCCTTACCCGTAGAATCCAGCTTCTCCCCCCAAGGTGACCTCCCCCCCCCTTGCTTCTCCTTTCCTTCTTCCCTCCCACTTCAAGTTTCTTTCCCCGTCTTCCCTGGTGACTTTTTGCTGCACTCTTCTTCTGTGTTTCGTCTCTGCCTTTTGCTTTCTACTCTTCTCCCCTCTCCTCATCCTTTACCACCTTCAGGAAATACTCAAGACCGCCGCCGTCCTTGCCTGAGGACCTTGTGCAAACTCTCTTCCTCGATACAAGTCAGCTGCTAGGTACATGTGACCTGCTCCTGCTTCTCCAGCGCTCCCTTTGCACTCCTTTCCTCTTCCCTCTGAATTCTCTTGAGTAACTTCGTGCTCATCCTCATCATCCTCCTGCCCATCATCATCATCATCATCATCATCATCATCATCATCATCATCATCATCATCATCATCATCATCATCATCATCATCATCATCATCATCATCATCATCATCATCATCATACCACTAACCACCACCATCATCATCATCATCATCATCATCATCATCATCATCATCATCATCATCATCATCATCATCATCATCATCATC